TATATATATATATATATATGGTGTTTTTACTTAATTAACTAATAATTATGTTTATTTATTTATTTATTATTTATTTTTAGGTGTCTGCTGCCTCGCTGCAGCCAATCCGTGATTTGCTGTTGGAGGGGCGTCTAATAGAAGATGTCTTTCGTCTTATCCGCAGCGCCCTTATAAAAAATATTAGACCTGTTCCTGCTTCTGCCGCTGATGCTGCTGCTGCCGCCGCTGCTGCTGCTGTTGGGGGCGGTATGCGTTCCACAGCTGGGGGTTGGCTCGGACAACACGCTGCAGCACAATCGGCAGGAGGACAGCAGCAGCAGCAGCAGCTGCAGCGGGAGCAGCAAGAAAAGGCAGAAGAAGCATCAAAGGCATCTGCTGCTGCGCTGCAGAAGCTTAACCGCATAGAGATGCAGATTATGCAGCACACCCGTGTCTTGCGGCGGCGTGTTGCTGCACAGAAAACAGAACGATTACTCGGCCTTATGCTAGTAAACCCTAAACCCTAAACCTTAAATTGCAACCACTTCGTCTTAATGGTTCTAAGAAGCATTCCCTCTCCCTTCCTTGCTGTGTTCATGTACACTTGGGGTTTAGAGCTTGGGATTTAGTGTTTAGGGTTTAGGGTTTGGTGTTTGGTGTGCAGTTAGGGAAGCCGCATCAGCTAGACGAATTGATGGATCGTTTGTCTTCTTTGCGGGGTTTAGACGAACATTTTATGCATTTCTTAAATGAGAAGATAAGAGAAGCTATGAATTCAAACCCTCCTAAAACCCGAGCTGCCATGGCACTTCGCATCCTACGACAAAGGCAAACACTAAACCCTAAACCCTAAACCCTTTCTTTCCAGCCCAAACCTTTAACGCGAAAGCCCGATTTCGTGGTGCTCATTCGGCGCGATATTCCTCCCCGCATGCACGGCTCCTTCTCAAATTCCCTTCTCAAGGATATGCACCTGCGGTTTAGGGGTTAGGGTTTAGGGTTTAGGGTTTGTGTGTGTTCAGGTGCACGGCGCGGCTGCGGCTGGATGCTGTGGGGAAGGCGAAGTTCGTAGAAATTCTGGCAAAAGCATTTCAAGACCCCAACGCAGACCTGCGGGCTCTCGCCAATGTAGGATTTAGGCTTTGGTGTTTAGGGTTTAGGGTTTATGTGGTTGGGACACGGGGGTTTAGGGTTTGTCTTGCGCTTTGAGTGTTATTGGGTGCAGACGTCTTTGCACACCACGGAAGAAATCGAGGACTTTTGCGAATGGCTGCAGAGCGGAATTGCTTTTGGCAGTAAACCCTAAACCCTAAACCGTAGTTCCCTTAATAGTTGTAAACCCTAGCCTTTACTATTATTAATTAGAGGAAATTGTGAGTAATCTGCTCGCGTGTTTTTCTTCCCTGTCTGCCCCATTTCCCGCCAATAGATCTTGGCTCGCCAATATCTCAATATATTCCAATTGCCTCTACTAATGGCGCTGCTATTGCTGTTGTTGCTCCTGCTGTTGTTGCTGTTGTAGAGGAGACGAAACGTTTATCGCCTGCTCAACTGCGGACAATGCAGCAGCTGTTAACAGATACTGCTTCTCTTCATCCTGCAGAAGGACAATTCCTTGATCGTTGGACAGAAGGAATGACATTCAAACCCAACGCAGAGATTCAACGCATTTGGGATGAAATACCAAATCCGCCAAAGCAGCAGCAGCAGGAGCAGCAGCAGGAGCAACAACAACCGCAGCAGGAGCAGCAGCAACAACAACAGGACCAGCAGGGAAAGCAGCAAGGTCCGCAGGGAGAAGGTGGTTGGTGGGTGTAGCAACCGGAAGACTAGAGGTATACACACAGCGGCAAGAAGCAGCAGCATCAACAGTAACGGCAGCAGACACTGCAACAGCAACAACCCCAGCAGCACTTTTATGCCCTCTGGGCCACCACAAACACAAACATTTCAATGCTGTACACTTCACGAGTTACAGCGTTTGTAACCCTTCCTTCTAGGGTTTAGGGCTTCTCTAGGGGCCCTTCACATTGCAGAATGTTGAGCAAAGTGAATTCTGCAGCGGCCACACCAACAAACCCTCTGCGGTCAGAGATGGTTTAGGGTTCCCAGTTGGAAAACTAGTGTTTAGGATTTATGGGAGAGGGTTTGCGGCGTATTTGATACGAGAGTGTACAGGAGCAACAAACTCTCCAATATGTTTTTTCTTGGCTAAACAGACCCTTTGTTTTGCATATTTGATGTTTTCTGGCGCCTTCTGCTGCAGCCTCCTTTTCCATGCTTTTTATAATAGCACACAGCAGGGGCAGCAGCAACAGCAGTAGAACTATTCCTACTACTGGTGCTGCTGTCGGCAGATGTCGAGTAGCATGATGGGCAACAGCAGACGCCGCTGAATTTGCGACTGGTGCAATGGACGCCAGAAGTTCTAGACTATTCTTTTCTTTGCACGTCTTGTATATTTCCACTCGAAATTAAAATTTATTTCTTGTGTAGTCAGTATAAGGAGGCAGGAGGCGCACACGTGCAGCAAATGCCAGTAATGTGTTCTGTTTGGCCTGTTAAAATAAGGAGTGGCATAGGGAGCTTATAGAAAGGCCTATTTGATAACCAGCCAAGGAATTACGCTTAAAACTGACAGCTGATATTCAACTTGGTGGACTTGTGCTCCTTATTTCGCTTGGCTGTGATCTTTTCAACACGCCATCGTTGCAAGTCGAACCCCGACTTGCAACAATGGCGTGTTGAAGATGGAGGGCCAAGAAGAAATTCGATCTGGCTAGAACCGCGAAATGCTCCAATAACTCTATAATGAAACTGTTCTCCAGGTTTCATTGAAAAGTCAACCGTTTCCGCCAACAACCCAACGGGAAACGGACCTAGCAACCCTTGGCTGTGGGCGGTGTACACACACCTGAAGGTTGGCAAGATTAACAATGTTTTTGTTGTATTTTCTTGAACTTTTCCCTAAAAGTTGCTCAAATACCAAAAACTAATTTTCGTTTCTTCAACAACCTTTATATTTGTTTGAAAAAGAACAAAACATGAAAATGCATTTCTTGGGGCTTCCCTCGCCTCCGTGATGGCCGATTTCCGCGCAGTTTCCACTTTTTCCTGGCTGCCCCACAAAAAGGCACTTAGAAGCCGAATCTTTCCTCTTTTTCTTCAACGTATTCGCATTTCGTCTCATAAGTGAATTCATATTTTGCATAAGCATCAACGATAAGAAGAAATGGCAACAAGACAGGGCAACCGGCGGGTCAAGTGACCTTGAGCGCCCCCCCGCCTCGCCGCGAGAACCACCCAGCAGGGCACTGCCACGTCCTCGCTGAAGAGAGAGCAAAACAATTTAAGTTTAAGTTAGATTTTGTTTTAAAAAATCGTTTTAGCGCAGCGTTTGACTCAAAACAAGACACGATCGGGAAGCAACCAACTGGCCCTCTGCGTCGACCGCCGACAATATTGGCGCAGCGCCAACACATACACACGAGGAATCGAAACTGCAACGTGAAATTGGCATTGTAGTGTCAAAACGGAGCAGAATTCGGGGCAAAATCAAGGGCAGCAGCAGCGCATGCGATATCGGCCGTGCCGAGTGTATGCTTTCCGACAAGTTCCCTCTCTGCATGTGCAGACGTAACGCTTTCTCCCGCTCCCGATTAGTGCCTCCAACTCGGCGTGTAATTGAAGATGAGCCAAAGCAGCTTGCAACCCGACTCTGCCCCTGCTGATGGCACTATTTCCAAGAGAGAAAGCACAGTAGCTCCATCGGAGCGCGGAACGATCGTACAGCCAAGAGCCTCCACCGCTCAAAGATACAGCACAAGGAAGAGCTCTGCCGGCATCGCGGGCATTCCTGCTGAACTGCCTGCAGACGATGACCCTGAAGAGCCTCCCTCTGATGCTGCTGGTGGTGGTGGTGCAGCTGCTGGGGATGGAGATATGCTGATGGATGACGTAAATTTGCTTCAGCCGCCATTGCCATCTTCTGCTTTAACGATGGGTGTGAGGGAATACCTCGAAAAGGAAATCGTGCCAACTCTACTACCTGCACTGGCAGCACTCTGTGAGGAAAGACCTCCAGCACCTGTTCAATATTTAGCACACTACCTCCTAGAAAAAAGCTACCAAAATAACCCAAAATCCTAAACCCTAGACTCTAAACCCTAAACCCCAGACTCTAAACCCTAGAACCTACTGCATTCTAACGGAACGTCCTAAAGCTTAATAGGTGGAAAAAACACAAACGAGGGTTTCGGACTTTAGGGTTTGCGGAAGGGTTTACCACCCGGTGATTATGCCGAAGGAGCGCTTTACAACAATAACCAGTAAAAAAGCGCAGATGCAGCATACATCCTACACAGCAGCGGCGTAAGGGTTTGGGGTTTAGGGCTGTACACACCTCCACATACACCGGAAACGTTCAACCCTCACGGGCGGTGCGTTCTACCACAAGGCAGGGAATCAACGGTTTAGGGTTTCGGGTTTAAAGGAGGAGATGGGCGAAGGAAGCTCAAACCCCTCCGTGCCTTTTAAACCCCAAAGGGTCTCTATCCTTTGCAAAGAGGGGAAAACAACTCAAATGAGAGTTGATTATATTTTGATGTTTTAACGCGCAAAGGGAGTATCCAACGAAAGAAAGAATGGGTTTAGGGAGGAAGATATGGGTTTACCAAACCCTAAAATAGATATCTTGGTCCCATGCCTTGGCTACCTGCAGAAAAAAACAGAAAAGGAGCACTGTCTACCCCTTGCGCTGTCTATACACCGCACAGCAGCATAACAGCTCTAAACAGCAGCGCCGCAACAGGAAGATACAGTAGGAAACACGGGCAGCAACATATATATATGTAAATAATATGGATACATATATGTATTATACATATATTCACTTATATTCATTCATTATATGCATATTTGCCGCTGCAGCACCAACAAGGTGTTGAGAAAACATCGAGGGAACAGCAAAACAGAAACAAGAAAAGGTTGAATGTAATTGCCGTTAGAACAAAACAACAGAAGAAGCATTTTGTCTATTACTTACTCATTCATTTATTCAATTAATTACTTAATTAATTAACTTTACTTATTTATACTTATTTATATTTATTTAAATTAAATTGTCTATTATGTTATTATATTTGTTACCTTCTAAGTACTTGTCTAATTTCTCTTTTTTGTTTCTCCATTTCTTCTTTATTTGCTTCTACTGAATAAACAATTTTATTTAATTGTTCATTTTGCTGCTGCAGTTCTTTATTTATTGCAGCTGCTCTTCCTTCTAATTCACCCAGCTGTATAAACACCGCAGAACAACACAAATGATAACACTGCTGCTGCTGCTGCTGCTGTTGCGGTTGCTGGTGTTGCAAAGTTATATGCTCTCCTTTTCACTTACACTAAAGCAGCAGCAGAAGCAGCAGCAGCAAAAAACACAGCAGCAGCACGCACGAGAGAAGCATGAGACAACTGAAACAGCAAAACATACAGCAGCAGCAATAGCAGCAGCAACAGCAACAGCAGCAGCAGATGTGCTGACCATTTGAGACAGTCTCTGGAGATCTCTTTGAACTCCTTCATCGAAGTCCTCGCTTGCTGCTGATCCTGTAGTTGCTGCACCGTTTCTGCTGCCAAGCAGCGTCATCCGCTGCTGCTGCAGCTGTTGTTGCTGCTGCTGCACTTGGAATTGCTCATGCTGCAGCAGCTGCTGCTGCGTCCCAGCAGCGTATACATCCGCCTCCGCAGCAGCAGCAGAAGCACTATCAGGAAGCCACCGCTGCCGATCACGCCCCTGTTGCTGTTGCCGCTGCTGCTGGCGTCTGCCGCTGCTGCTGCTGCTGCTGCTGCTGCTTGTTGAGGGTTGAGTAAATAGCTGTGAGACTGACCCCCACCAACTCTTTAATCCTTTAAGGAGATATTTTGATGTCTTTAAATTATCGCCTATTGCTTCTGTTGTGTCTGCTATTCTCTCCAGCTGCTCTGTAACACAATAAACCACAAATTAGGGTTTAGGGTTCCTATTTAAGATGTGGACAAGGAAAGATGTTAGAGGACTTGTCTCTTATAAATGACACATATATGGTTTAGGGTTTACCTGACTGTGCCGCCAATTGTTTAGCAGTGTTTTGTGACGCTTCGTTTGTTTCTCCCACAATACGAAGGGATGCAACCAAAGAAGATCGACATTGCTGCTGCAGCTGCTCTATCTCATTATCCTGGTGCTGCTGCTGCATTGTTAGCTCCTGCTGCATGTAGATCTGCTGCTGCTGCTGCCCGTAGTACTGCGGCTGAGCGTACGGCTGGTGCTGCAAGTACTGCTGCTGTAGTTGCTGCTGCTGCTGCTGGTGCAGATGTTGCTGTTGCTGCTGGGTTGCTTGAAAAGAGCCCCGTGGGTGGCCCCCAACAACGCTTTCTGGGGGGCCCCCAAAGGCACCAGCAGGCCTGGGCCTCAGGGGGGCCCCATCGGGGGCACCCCACGAAGCCTGTCGGTCCCGTGCCATCAAGTTCCTAAAAGATGCCTCATCGGATGACCCAAAGGGGGGTCCCACGGGGATCCCCAATGGGCCCCCATGTGATGATGTTGCTGAACGATGAGCATTCCAGGGCACAGCGAGAGGGGCCACTGCAGAGTGACTTGAGGGACCCCCTCTTGGGGCCCCCTCGGGGGCCCCCCAAGGGCCACCTGGGAGGGGCCCCTGGTTTCTGTGTGTGCCTGTGGTGGAGGGCCCCTGCGGGTCCTCTTGTTTGCTAGATGCGAAGAAGAACATGAGGAGGGGAGAAGCGAAGGCCCCTTTCTACCCCTCCCTTGGGTACGTTTGAGGAGGTAGAAGGGCCCTTAATGAGACGAAAAAAATAAACTAAATAAGAGGAAAAGAAAAGAAACAAAAAAATCCGAGTCGACCTACACCCGAGCTGCACGTCTATACACCGCAAGCTGGCGGCAGTCTTTAAGGACAGGAGAGAGGGGCCTCCAACGGGAGGCTTTCCTTCTCTCTTTACTGTTTAATCAATTCTATTTATTCAATACCTTGACGTTAAACAAAAAACTCAAAAAAAAGCAAAGAAATGTGCGTTCGGGAGAGCAGATTGCCAGCCTGTTAAGCTAGGGGCCCCCCATACCCACCAACCTCCTGGGGGGGCCCCCTCCTCTAAGAAACTGCCTTCTGGGGCTTCTCCCTCTTATTATGTCTTCTTTGTACCCTAAATTCACTACCCTGTCGTTTATTTCCTCATTAAATATATCGTGTGGCTTTAAAATCAAAGACTGAGGCCTCCGTGGGGCCCCTACACACTCGGTAGCTGGGGCCCCCAAGACACCCACTGCCACCCGCATTACCGTCCTTCCTAAGTCGTAGACTCTAAACCCTAAACCCTAAACTCTAGCTAGACTCTACTTTGCAACTGGCCTTTGTAATGCAACACACGTGGTAAGTTAAGCCGATGCAGGCGGACCCCCCATTGACATCGGCGAGCCCTTGGGAGCCCCATGGTTCTTTCGGTGAGCCCCCTGGTTCCTTCGGGGGCCCCTCTGGTTTCCCCGGGGGCCCATCTAGTTCCCTCAGGAGACTTTCTGGTTCCCTCAGAGGCGCCCCTGGTTCCTTCGGGGTGCCCCATAGGTTTCGCAGTTTGGGGGCCCCGAAGAAGCACCTTGTTGCATTCGAATTTTGGAAGCGGCCACCACCTCCCCCAACAACGGCTATCACTGACACGTAAGCCTAGTAAGGGTTTAGGCTTTAGGGTTTACGGCTTGGGGCTTGGGGTTTAGGGTTTTGTGTTAAGGTTCTTGTGATGATTACAGGGAGGGCCTGGAAGCGTTTCTGTTGAGTTTGTTGTCCGCGGACGCCCCTGAGAAGCCTTCCTCTTCCCCTTTTAGTGACGCAGCAGCATCAGCACCAGCAACAACAGAAGCAGCAACAGCAGCAGAAGCAGCTGGTGCCAGTGGCGGGAGCTCTTGGACTTCATCCGAATGGAGCCCCCAAGGGGGCCCCCCCACGGATACTGGAGGGGTCCACCTTTCTCCTTTCTATCATACCACCTCTACTTACGGCCCTAACATTGTGCACCAGCAGAAGCAGCACCAGCAACAGCAGCGGGAGCAGCAGCAATATAGGGACCCTGGTGATTTGCCTGTGGAGGAGCAGCTGCAGCGGCTCCGTCGGCTTGCAAAGTCGAGGGGCCCCCGAGGGGCCCCCAAAGAAGGAGGGGCCCCAAAAGAAGGGACCCCCCACCACACAGTGCAATCTGACATCCGCTCTTACCTTGTTCCCTGCAGGCAGCAGCAACACGAACAGCAACGGCAACAGGAGGAGCAGCTGCCACAGCAGCAAAAACAGGAATCGCAGCACCCGCCAGACGAGCTGTGGTCCCAGGCGCACCACCAGCAGCAGGTGCGGCTGCAGCAGCAGCAACAGCAGCCGGATGAGGGATCTTTGATGTATGGGTCGTATTCAAGTCCTGCTGGAGGCACATACAGGACGCCGCTGATGGGGCCCCCCGGAGGCCCCCCTGTCTATGGGTTCGAGGAGGGGCCCCCAGAGAGTACCCACTCTGCAGGCACCCTCCAATACCCTCATTTATCTGTTGGGGTCCCCGCGCCACCACAACATCTTTATGGAAATTCAAAAGAGGCAGTTGAAGGGGGGCCCCAAGGGGTCCATGTCCCTTCACCCCAAATGGGGGCCCCCGACACACTTCCAGAGGCAACGGGGGCAACGGAGGACCCCTTCCAGGAAGTGCCCATAGAGGCACCCCTCTCTATGGGAGGTCTTTCGCCTGGGGGCCCCTCTCCGGAGGGGCCCCAAGATTCACCCATCTCCCTGGAGGACTCCTCGCCTGGGGGTTCTTCTCCTGGCGGCCCCTCTCCTGGGAGCCCTTCGCCTGGGAGCCCCTTGGGGGCGCCCTGCTCGTCAGGTACTGCTGCTGTGGGGTCGCCGGAGGGCAGCAACCCTGAAGAAGAAAGGGTGGCCTCCGCAGAGGGCCCCCGCAAAGGGTCAAGGAGCAAGAAGACTCCTTTGAAGGGGAAAGAGGCGAAGGGACAAAGAAGTAAAACACGAGAAGGAGAAATAACAACAAAAAAAAGGAACAAAAAAACCCTCATCTTCAATCCTGTCGATGCTTGGAGGGAATTGTGCAACAGCTGGGTCTCCCAACATGTGCGTCTTAAATTAGGGTTTAGGGTTTACGGTTTACGGTTTAGGATTGCTGTTTTGGGAATTAGGGTTTAGGGTTTAGGGTTAAGGGTCCGTGTGTGTGAATGTGTGTGTCAGAATGTCCATTTTGTGTTTTCTTCTGCTTCTTTTTCTGCTTTTGTCTCTTCTTTCTTTTCTTCTTCGATTCCATCCCCTTCCCCCCCAGAGGGTTTTAAGGGCTCCTCCGAGGGTTTAGAGGGGGCCCCGGAAGGTGTATGGGGGTCCCCTGAGGGTTTCGCTATTTGGGTATGTCAGACGTTATTAGAAGACGGAAGTTCTTCTTCCTTAAGCAGCAATAAATTGCATTTTAGTCGATTTAATAGCAATGACTCTTTTAGGAGAAGATTCCCTCGTCCTGTTGCTCTCATCCTTAGCACAGGTTCTATTGCTGACAGCAGCAGCAGCAGCAACAGCAACAGCAGCAGCAGCAGCACCGCAGGTCCAGAGGGGGTCCTGCAGCTAAGCTTGGAGGCCCTCCATCGTCTTGCGAAGAGCGCTCCAACGCAGTGGCAACATTTCGTTATTCCCCTAGCAGATTTCGCGCTGCAACACCTGCAGCAACAACAGCAGCAACAACAACAACAGCAACAACAGCAGCAGCAGCAAGGGGAAGGGGTAGAAGCTGCTGCAGTTTGGTCATTCATAGATGATTTACTTCTCTCGCGAGTTAAATTTTCTCTTCTTAATGGTTGTTTGCTTCTGTGGAATTCACAAGAGGCCATTAGACCCCTCATTGCTGATAAAGCAGAGATCCGTAAACACTAAACCCTAAACACCCTAGTGAATGTCTAATGCACTCTATAGGACGTTAGCTGCACCCTTGGCTGTGTTATGCACTTTTGCGTTGTTGCCGTAGGAGGTCGGAAGTTCAGGGTTCAAGGTTTAGGGCTTAGGGTTTGGGGTTTGGTGTTTGCAGCTCTCGGCCCGGCTTGCTTTCTTGACGTTTCCCTTATGACTTGGCTGTGGGCGCCCGACAATCCCGAAATATCTGCTGCTGCTGCTGCACTCAACAATGCAGCAGCAAAGATGAACCTTCAACAGCCCCTGGTGCGCCCTCGAGGGTTTAGGGTTTAGAATTTAGCGTTTGGTGTCTAGTAGAATCTCGCTTTGAATTTTGGGGAGCTGCTTGGTAAAACTACCACATCCTGGAGAAGGGTGCAAACAGTAAAGTCCGGATTTCACTGTTCAGGGTTTAGGGTTTAGAGTTTACGGTTTAGGGTTTAGGGTTTAGCATGTATGCAGGGCGGGCTGTCGCCTTTGGAGGTGGGGGTTTCTGAGGGTTTTAGTTCTTTTTGGTCTAAATCTCTCATTGCCAATATAACAACTGCTCAAGTCGCGAGCACCTTGGCGCCGCACATTCTCTCGCAGGGTTTGTGCAGGTATCTAAACCCTAAGTCCTAGACAAGCCCTACCCCGCGACAAGCCCTAAACCCTAGTCCCCGTTTTTTTGTGTTGTGAGGAGGTCGTTGCATTTAGCGTTTAGGGTTTACGGTTTCGGATCTATATGTTAGGGTTAAGGGTTTCGGGTTTAGAGTTTGTGTTTAGGGTATTAGTGGAGCAGGAGGTTCCTGTGGCGCTGCTGTTGTCCCTCATGGAGGCGACGGGCATTGCCTGCGACGAGGCTGTCCTAAAGCAACACAAGGACACACTGCAGGTAGGGTTTAGGGATTCGGGTTTGGCGTTGAGCATATATTGACGACATTTTAGGCTTTTTGGTCCGGTATTATATGTGCAATGCACTGTTCAGAGTTTACGGTTTAGAGTTTTCTGTGTTTCTTCTTGCAGGCAGAATTGCAGCGATTGTCTGCTGCTTGCTGTGAAGCCGTTGGCTTTTCTTTTTCTCCTTCTTCGCCTCAACAAGTTGCAAACGTCCTCTACAACCGATTAGGCTTAAAGGCCCCACAGGGGCCCGTCAATGGGGGCCCCCAGGGTGCCGCTGGGGAGGGTCTTGCAGAGGGAGGTCAGGATGATAAGGGCCGACAACTCAGCACGGATGAAGCCGCATTGCAAGTAAACCCTAAACCTTCACGGGTAGTTTGTGAACCCCAACAGGTTTGGGTTTAGTGTTTGGGTTTTAGGGTTTAGGGTTTAGGGTTTGGGTGTGTTGGTTGCAGAGCCTAAAAGACTCCCACCCTGTGGTGCCTTTGCTGCAAAGACATCGCCAAATATCGAAGTTGTACAGCACGTTTATCGCCCCCTTAAACCCTGTAAACCAAAACCCCTAAACCCTAAACCCTTGTGGCGGAGACCACAGACAGCATACCGTAAACTAAACATTTTCCCCAATTCCTATTCCGTGAAGGTGGGCGCGTCTAGCGGTCACACGTGAGAAGCATGAATTCGAGGGTTTGGGGTTTAGGGTTTAGAGTTTCGGGTTTAGGGTTTTCTTCAGATATACTTGGGGTCTTCAACAGTAATTGCCGAGGGTTCCGTTAGCTTTGCTGTTCCTCCGGAGGGTTCATCTGAGGGGTTGGCGAAGAAGCAGCGATTTAAAACACCTTGGAAGTCTGGACAGCCGCAGCAGCAAACCGAACTCCCTCGGTAAACCCTAAACCCGTGCGCCAGTGCCACGAATGCTAGAAGCTGTTTCAATGCTGCTGCGCTTGATGATAAGCAAGTAGGTTTCCCTTTCCTCTTCAATAGACAAACCATGGTTTAGGGTCTATGGTTTGTGGTGTTCAGGCTATGCTGCCGATGGAACCAGACGCGGACCGTGACAGGGCGATTATCGTGTTCAAGTTTTAATTTACAGACTGTGCCTAAGGAAGCAATAATTACTTTAATGTGTACATACACTCCAACAGGAAATAATATTCAACTTCCATTAAACTGCAGAGAGGCATTTAAACCCTCCTCACCCAATGCACAAACCCTCATCTCCGCAGACTTCTCACAAATCGAAATGCGAGTGCTTGTCAGTCGAAGGTCTAGGGTTTAGGGCTTAGGGCTTGGGGCTTAGGGTTTGGGATCGAGGGTTTAGGGGTTGTGATCGAGGGTACGGGTGTTTGGCCTTCATGGTTTAAAGTGTAGGATTTGAAGTTGAGGGTGTGAGGGGTTTTGCCTTCTAGGGTTTAGGGTTTAGGGTTTAGGATTTGTGTGTGTTTTAGGCTCACTTCTGCATGGAAGGTCGTTTAAGGATTTTATTTAAAGAAGGAAAAAAAGATTTTTATGAAGAACTCGCGGCAGAATTTTTGGGTTTAAATTCTTCTGAGGTGTCCAAGCAGCAACGTGATAGTGTAAGACTATTTATTTCTTTTCTTCTCTTTTTTCTTCTTTTCGTTTCCCTTTGCTGTTTTACCCTTTGTTAGTTTGCTTGTTTATTTGTCCGTTTATTGTGTGTATGGGGGATTTTTGTTTGCTTTACTGCAACTGAGTTACTGTGAATAAATAAGCACATATAAAAGCTCGAGTATAAAAGGGTATTATAGGAACGTTTATTGCTTGTGTTTATCGATATGAATAACTTGCAGACAAAAAGTGTCTGTTTATCTCTTTTATATGGGGGAGGAAATTCTCCAATTTCGCATAATTTTGGCGTTTCTTCCGACAATGCGCAAAAAATAAAATCAAAATTTGCAGAAAAATTCCCCGAAATAAATCAATTCGTTAAAATCATCAAACATAAACTACAAACAAATGGTTATGTACAAACCCTAGCAGGTCAGGTACATGGTTTGGGGTTTGTAGGGTTCAATGGTTTTAGGGCTTAGGGTCTGGGGATATCAGGGTTTGGCGCTTGGAGTTTGGGGCTTAGGATTAGGAGTTTGGATTGGAATTTATGTTGTGGTTGATGGGTTTTGGCGGGAATGTACGGTTAAGGGTTTAGGATTTAGGTTTTAGGGTCCTTATTGGTGTTTAGGGCGTCGGCGTTATATAAATTTGGAGAGTACCGACAGCTCAGCAATACAACGACAAGCTGTTAATTATATTATTCAAGGAAGTGCGAGTGATATCATTAAACAGGCAATGCTTAAAGTGCAACGCGCATTACAAATCAGGCAAGTCATGGTATAGGGTTTAGGGTTTGCGACGTAGACTGCTGTTGCAATTGCTGCTGCTGTTGCTGCTGCTGCTGTTGTGTGTGTTGCATGCGTTTTGTGTTTGTTGTGTGTTTATATGCAGAAAAGGAAGGAAAAATATTCGTTTATTGTTGTCTCTGCACGATGAATTATTAGTTGAATGTTTAAAAGAGGAGGAAGAAGAAATAAAAAATATAATAAAAACAGAAATGATTAATGCGTGGCCATTAAATGTCCCTCTTTCTGTCGTCGTTAAGACAGGAGATAGCTGGGGAAACCTCAAAGAGGAAACACAACAGCAGCAACAGCAACATCTGCAGCAGCAGCCGTAGTGGTATCAGCAACATTTTTGTTGTCTCTTCTAATGAAACGTTTGCTGTCGCAAACCGTTTTTATTGTTTTTTGTCTTTTATTGTTATTTTAGATGTAACAAATAGAAAACAGCTGCTGCTGCTGTTGCTGTTGCTGCTGCTGTTATTACTGCTGCTTCATGTTTGATGCTTTCTTTTGGCTGATTTGTTTACTTTTTATGTATTTATTTATTATTCTCCGGCTATTGCTGCAACAACAAAAGCAACAAAATACCTGTAACAGTGCAATTTTGTTGTTTAAAACTCTAGGGATATTCACCCCCTTCCTTATTCTGTTTCTCTTTTCTTTTCCTTTAGTTTATCTCCTTTGGAAGCAAGTTCAAATTGAGGGAGAAAAAGCACAAGGGGGGGAAGTGAAAAAAAATTAAAAAAGGAAAAAAACGAATTGTCCTTCGATTTGTGCATTTTGCAACAAAAAGGAAAAAATGAGGGAACGTAGTAAAAAAATTGTTTAATTGTTTAAATACTAAATAATATTTAATTAAATTTTGTTTTAAATAAAATAAAATATAATTAAAACAAATTAAATTAGAAAGGTAAAAGGAAGAACAACGGAAGTAAAAGACAACTCTCTTCACTGTCCCGAAGACAGAAAACAATATTGTACAATAAAAACAATTATAACGTGTTAACTAATTAATACTTAGTTAAATAATTAATTAATTGACTAATTAATTAATTTAGTTTTATTTATTTTATCTTCTGTAGGGGTTTGAGTGCTTTTTGTATTGTAATTGTTGCTCTTCTTTTCCCCCCTTCGACGTTAGTCGTCTTTGAATTAATTTTATGAGAGAAATTTAAATTTGGTTCTTTCTTTATTGACAATTCTTCTTTGTAGTCATTTGTGGAAGAAGAAGTAGTAGAAGGAAGAGAACAAGACATAGACGAGGAAGAAGAAGAGGAAGAAGAAGAAGAAAGGGATGAAGAAGAGGAAGCTGAGGACGAAGAAGAAGGCGTAAGACAAAGGAGATCGTCGTTCCGTCGTCTTGATAATAACGACCGTAGATGCTCTGCCTACAAATAACAGATAAGAGTAATAAATCATTGAGCAAAAACATAAAATAGTATTTATGTGTTGCCAGTCAATTTACGTGTAGCCAGTAAATTAAATAATTTAAAAGGACAGCAAATATCTCCTCATTTTCTCCTATTTCTTGCATGGCTGCCTCCTTTGTTCAATATATTCTTCTTCATGTGCGCTCCAGTTGTTTGGTCTTGATTTTGGCGGATTATTGGTGAAAATTGAAAAACATTTGAATATTATTATATTGACGTATATTTTTAAATGTAACGAATGAATTATTGTTGCGTTTTTTTGCATGTTTAGTGGCGTATTCCTCTCCTTTATCAGCCTTCTTTTTCCTTACCTTAGTGTTACTCGCTGCTAGGAGATCAGCAAGACGCTGAATTTGTTTATCTTTTGCTTTTATTGTTTCTCGTACTTTTTCTTCAAGGGTTTTAAGAACTAATTCTTCGTTTCTCTCCATTTGCGTCAATTTTTTTGTCGCTGTTTCGAGTTTTGTGCTCATTTCCTCCATAGCTGTACGATGATTTCGTAACTCTTCCTGCTGCGCCTACAGAGGAAGACGAATAACAAAAGAAAAAAGAAGAAATAGATTCAAATTGATTCAAACATTTAATTTGAAACTGCCAAACCGACTCAACAAATACATATACATAGGCACAAGCATTTACATTAAATAAATCAAATTTTAATTAGGTATATTGTCTTGTTCAACATCAAAAATTTAATAATTATATTAAATCATTAAAGATAGTTACAAGGGCCTGTGTTTTCGGTTAAATCGTTTATATTTGAAACACCAGCATGAGATAAAGTACGTAAATAACTATTTTATTATTTTATTAATTAAATTAGTTAATTAATTACTTCGTATTTTTCCTTGCTTTGATTACATTCCCTTTCAAGCTCTTCGTTTCTTAATTGTTGTTCCCTTTGTAACGCCTAAAACAGAGTAAGTTCTTCCTTCAAGTAGTATTATTCACATATATTATTACATAAAATAATGTAGACCATCAATTAGTTGGCACGCATTGTTTTGCATATTTCGTTGTCCACTTTTTGTTGCAAGTAAAGAAATTTAAAGCAGTGACACAAGCAACTGCCTCCCTGCCTTTGTCTTTTGTCTATCTTATTTTTATTGTATGTCTTTTACGTTACTGTATTACATTTGTGTCGCCTTTTCCTGAGTTGTTTGTTTTTCTGTTTCTTTGTTTGTGTTTCTGATTTCTTTTCCTTTGCCGTTTTTTCTTACTTCTCCTCTTGCGTTGATCCCTTCTATTTTTGCCTTTAATTCTGTTAATTCTTTTTCTTTCATCTCTGCCTCAGCCTCCATTCGTGCTATTTGTTTCTCTAAAGCCAGGCGACTTTCCGCCTCTGCCTATACAAAGGCAGAAGAAAATCAAATAAAATAAAATAAACTAACAAATAAAGTAACAATAAAATGAAATAAAAGAATAAAATAAAATAAAGAGTCATAAAACGGAAAAGAAGGTAATTGTGATAAAAAGTGACCTTTAAATCATTTTTTAATTTTTCTGAATGTTTTTCGAATATATTTTTGCATTCTTCGAATTCCTTTTCTCGCTTTTGCATTTTTTCGATCCAAGTTTTCTCTTGTTGGTTTTGAACTGCCAATTGCTCTTCACTTAACCTCTCCAATATATGGTCTAATTTCCTGTGTAATCAAAAGGCGAAAAAGCAACGCCAATACATATAATGTATTTGTTTGAAGAAAAAGATGCAAATAAAGTCGTAAAATACTCAATTGTTTGCTGCAAAGAAATACTACATGAATGGGAGACGGTTTTGTGTCTTGACAATAAAAAATTGTTTATTTTACGGCTTTATTTGCATTTAGGTTTATATTTGTACACAGATCAAATGTGCTAATTGTATGAAGAAATAGTATAATAGTATAATATTATAATGTATACTCCCATTCACAAGGATGCCTTTAAGCATCACCCATAAATAAATTGAATGTATTTATTTTTCTTTGTGTTTTTGCTTTTGAATTTAAAGCGTATTTCTCCCCGCAGTTGTGGCAGTATGCATTTTTTTACTTACTTGTGGGCTCTTGCCTGCATTTCCTTTTTCGTTTGTTCTGTCGCCTCATGAATCGCTGCTTCTTTGGCTTCCTTCATTTGCAAAAGTAATTCCTTTTCCTTCTCCTTCGCTGCTGCTTCTACCTGCTGCAACTCTTTCAAATGTTTGTTGCGCTGCTGCTCCAGCTGTGCGAGTAATTGCGACGTCACTTCCTTCATACGTGTTTGTTCTTCTTCCCTCGCCTTTCTGATAAGAAAACAATCAAAACGGAGAAAACGAATTCTAGAGGGAGAACACAAATCAGAAACAATATACCAAATCTGGAGGCCAAAATACTACAAACGCACAAAAAACAATACAACGCATTGTTACATACTGCTATATATGTCAGCTACTAATTCGTCATAATGCAACTTTCCCGCCTCCGCCGCTGTTGTTGCATTTACATAAAACACAGGGAAAGGCTGCAACGAAGAAACGCCACCAACAAAGGAAATACACATCAGCAACATGTGCATGAATGCAGGCAGATACAACACAAAAAAAAAACAAAGAACCAAAACGGAATATTCTATTTACGTTATTTCCCCTTGCAGACGTTTCTTTCCTTCTGTTAGCTGCGCCTCCAACTTAGCGGTCTGTTGCTTTTGCTTCGCTGCCAATGCCTCACGTTCTTTTGCAACCTAACGTAGAGTAAAACGCAAACAGAAATGGCAAGGAAACCAGAGAAAACATCAATAATTCATTCTTGTTTAGAAGCAGCAAGAATAAATAAGTAAGTGCCCACAACACAACTCCAATACAAAAGAAGAATTATTACAGACCCACTCTTCCGTCTGCCATTATGCAAACAGACGCCTTTCCCTCACTTTTTCGCTTCTCTCTATATACCGTCTGTTGTTGCAGTTTCCGGCTGCAATCGTCAGTTTGATTTCTCTCACTATTGGTGCACTTTCATGGTTGCCTCCGCTGAACGGTTTTGCTTACTTCGGCTTCGTAGGTCTCCTTAAGCGTCCTCATTTCTTGTCTGTGTTGAATCCTCTCCACCTCAAACGCCTCCTCCATTTGCCTCTGCAATGCAACCTTCTGTGTCGCCAATTCTTCTTCCAGTTGTTTCTTCATCTGCAGAATGCAAATAAATAAAAAACGCAACGCCCCTCCTGAAACACGCTAAGGCCCGCCTACATCTGCATATTGAAATAACACCCCAACCGTTCTTCTTGGCAGAACGCGCACATCCTCAGGTATTTTCCTCAGTTTCTCTTCTAACAATCGCTTTTCAGCTCGATGTTTATTTAGCAGCCTCTGGATTTCGGGCTCCAAACCCTTTATCGTTATTTCCTTTATCTCCTGAGCCCGCTCCCGGGCCCACGCTTCTCGGCGGGCCTGAAAATATACTCAAGGAAGTAACGCTTTCCTGGGGGTCACAGAAAGGCCACCCACGTCAAATGTCGTTTTGTCAGCCGTGCATTACTGTAAATTCTTTACAGACCATTTCCCTTCACGTAAGGACTACCTTTTCGCCGGAAAGGAAAGCTCTCCTTTGACGCTCCAATTCCCTGCCGTACTGCCTGTGCATCTCTGCTGCTTTGGTTCGAAACCTCCGCTCCAAATCACGCATTTCGTCTGACAGTCGCTCACAGCGAGTGGCCAAGTCTTTCTTTTCATCTTGCAGTTGACTCAGTAACTCCTGTTGTTTTCTGCACTGCTGTTCGTACTTTTCCTGCAGAGACCGCCAACCGGAGGGCCAACATGAGTTCCAGGCAATTTTCCCTACCAAAATATCGTGATACTTAAGTGTAGCATAAGATTAGGGCTTTTTTAGCCAATCAACTGATTAATTTCGCAGCAAAAAGGCTACCCCCGACGGCAGTCGTAGTTGTATTTTGGTTAGTAAACCTCAGGAGCTGAAACGCAAACTTATTCGGTATGCTCACAGTTGTTCTACTTATGTCTCCCTGAAGCTGTTGTTGCAGCTGCTTACGCAGCCGCTCTTCTTGGAGCTTCTCGCGTTCCCGTAGCTCTTGGAAGGCCTTAAGATTGTGGTCCTTGTCCTCAAGTTCAACCTCCAGAGCAGATATTTTGGACAGAAGATCTGCAGTGCTGGCAGGTTCGCCTGGGGAGTTGGACTCCTTTGGCGGGCGGCCGTTACATTGGAGGGGATTTGATGCTGTCTGGTCGAGGAATGACAGGAAGTCCCGCATTCTCCCTTCGGACGGTGCTTTCACACAGTCCTCATCAAGGCTGCATGGCAGTCCCCCGACGTCCATGCTTTGTACAACGTCTACTGGCTTAACCCCACATGTTGCCGCAGATACAGCTGTGTGGAGCGCCATGGTTTCTACGCAACGCCGGTAACATTTCGTCGCTGCGCTAGCGCTATGACCTGCCTACCACTCGCTCGAAACGAAAAGCTCCTGTGATCACTAACAAGAGAACAATGCTCTCTAGGCGAGCTGATAATATCTCAATTTGAGGTGGAGAAACGATGGACCTGAACAAGCCCCAACAGATCCAAGAGACCTACACAAACACGAGACGGCCACATCTGGTACAATTGACTAACCAAGAAAGGAAAATGAGAAACTTCGTGGCAAAAGTTTGAATTTCTAAAATAATGGAGCGAGCTTAATATGTGTATCTGCAGCAAACATTGAAGTTGGGTGACCAAGTCACGTCGACGGTGTGCTAAGATGTGTTCGACAATCGGATCGCAATCCAAAGTCCAAGCACACCATAGATACTTGCAGTGCACTCAATGAGAAAACTCATTATATTTGTTTCAATGCTGTTAGAATCCGAGGCTTTGGCATTCTCCTGCTTTTGTGTGGCCCTGTGTTGCCCCTATGCGTGGAAGTGACCCGAGACTGCACAGAAGCAGGATGGCAATTCATCTTTACTGGGATGTCACTCTAGTACCAGGAGTAAAACAAAATCTTCTAGTGCGTAGTTTTTTAACTTATATTGTATTGTGGGATCATCATACAAGCACGCTGTCCGCGATGTTTCATGAAAAAATATTGAAGTCAGAAAACTCAAAAAAGAGTAGTTTCAGCTCATGCGTCTGTGCAGCACAGACCAGCGCCCCTCACTGGGGTCGGTGATCCGGCGGCAACGAGCGCTGTGCCGAGAGAAAGCTTGCGAGCGACCTGGAATCCACCGTTGTAGAGCTCTAGCTTGTCTGCAGGAACGAAGAGTAGGAAAGTTACTTAATGATACGGTGCACAAGATGAACTTACTGCACAGGTGGTAGCCGTCGGCACAGGACTCCGCAGCTTCGTCCTTGCTGATAAGAGAGTAAAACACCAGCTCTTTCTATAAATAGATTTGTAATTGAACTCACTTGCAGTTGGTGCAGCCGATGTGAAGATATGAGGGTTCAATGCCGCCTAAGGCTATGGATGCCTCGGCTTGGATATGGTCACGACCAAGTGCCTGAAAATCGCATTGTTTTCACTGCATTGGTTCATGCAGTGAAGACACGACGTACGTATGAGAACATGCGGAATTCATCGAGAAGCATTGGCATGTCGCAAACATTCTCGGCATAAGGGGCACCTCCAACGAAAAGAGGGAGGTCATTGGTCTTTGTTGATCCTTCAGTGACGAGAGAAGAATCAAGGATGCCGTCGACGTAGAGCCTCATGCGGTTTTGATGACGCACGACTGCAGGAACGTGTTGTTGCTACCTTCCATAGACAGATGTTGATTTATATAGCTTACCTCCAAGGTGATACCACTGGTGGGGGCGAAGTCTTGAGTTACTCTGCATCTCGCTGCCAGCTAAAATTTCCCATGAGTTTCGCTCTTGGAGAGATATTTTATGTTAAAGTCATACGTGCTGCACTGCCAGTAGTGCCGAGGATAACTTTGACACGTCCATCCTATAAAACGAATCATGTGAAGACTGTAGGTAACTGCGTGTGATGGGTGAAACCTTACGCGAGGGTTGACTAGGAGTGCTGGCGAAGCCTCTTGAACATCTTCGCGCATGGTGCCCTTGTGCATGATGGGGCAGAACTGGTCATGCAACTCATTTATTGACCTGTCAAGTAAATGCGTCGTGCACGTTCACCCGTTGGAGTACTGTGTTTATACTAACCTCGACTTTGCATCCTCAAGGAGGTACACAAAGAAAGTGTATGAAAAGTCAGCAGACTTGAAGCTATCGGAGCTAGGGACGTATACGTAGTTGTTGCGGAACAAGCCAGAGCTCCCAACACCACCAATGCCAGCTGCTGCCATGATCTCCCCAGATCCGTGGTTCTTCTTGCCACTGGTGTCGAGAGGACGAGATTCATCGAACGTAAGGTGAACCTCCATGCCTTTGAGCAACCATTATTAGACAGGAGCTTGGGCCTTGTAGCAAAAATAGTTTACCATATGGGCGAGCATCAGGCATCAATATCTTCTCCGCATTGTGCAAGCACAGCGCAGTCTCGACGGCAACGTCGCATACTGGGCTGTTGGCCGGTAAGGGCTCAGCTTGGGCGCCCAGGAGGGAGAAGCAGACGATGGGGATGAAGTGCCTCATGGTTACTTGGAATATATACGAATACCACAGGCAGATGGCTTGAATGTTTTCCCAGATACGAGAATTTGCGACATTAGTAACTCGTGTGCTGCGCTAGTGATCAGGGTACACCGTACGTACACCTGAAGACAACAGCACTTTACAGAGGTGTCTCGCCAGTGTCATGAAAGCGAATTCGTAACCTACTGTCACTTTTTGTGATTATTTGCGAGTCTTTGTTTGTTTGTATTTGTATCATACATGTTGGTTCGTTGAGACGGTTCACCTTCATAGCGTTGCAAACCCCCCCTCTGCTTTAATCTTTACGGCAAATAAGTAAACGCATTAGAGAGACGTAACGGCTGCGACCTTAATGCTTAAAATGTGAAATTATTTCCCTTAGGCCAGATGGCAAGACAAGACGCGTTAAGCAGTGAATGCGGCAAGCCCACCGACCTCTGGTTGTGATGCTCTACACAATAGGCCTCCAAACACCTAATAGGAAACTCCTAATTAGAGGATTCTTCAAAAAAGCAACTTTTTAAATTCACAACGAAAATGTGTCGAATAGCTCCAGAGCGAACAACTACCACTTGACACACGCACGACGGCTTTGTCGGCACACCACTCGCCAGGTTGAAGATAGTAGGTTGAAAAGCCAGCTGTTTGACTACAGCATAGACAGGCTCATTAGATCGAGAAGTTGATTCTTCACACCTTGGAAACTGTGCTCAGAACTACCATATCCACAGACGGCTTCGAGGCAACCGCCTCAAGCATGAGCCGCCGTGGTTAATGTGACTCAACTGGCAACTGCCGTACCTCTCTACAATGTGATCCCTTTCTTAACCGTCTATTGAAGCATTTTCAAATAAATGCCTATCTGTCCACTCTCTAGTTCACATTTATGGGCCAGGGCGCCCGCGTTGTCTGTGGCTCGCCACCACCCCCACCGCTCCGGGTGGGGCTCGGCGAACGGTGACACCTTTAAGACGAAGGATTCTCCTGTGTTTCGTGTCTAGCGTTACATTTCACTTTCTTCAAATAGTCTGATCCTTCTGTGCGCGCTGAATTTGCACTTTTTTGGTTTTTTCTGACGCCGCTGCAGTTCCCCGGGCATGCTCGAGGATCTGGAAGGACATCACCTACTCCATTAAAGCCACTTCGCCTAGGGTTTAACACAATTCAGTCATGCGGTACTATTCGTAGCAAAACGAAGAGGCTGCATGGAACACAGCTAGTAGGGTGGATTCTGGTGCCTCGAGGCCGCATCGCTCATCCGGTGTCGCCGGCCCGTAGTCGCTATCGTGCCAGCAGCTGTCTGGTTGTAATTCGCAGCAGCGTTTCATTGCAAGTTCACCATGAAGTAATGGCTGGTCTTTGTTGAGTCCAGGACGCAGCTATTCATCATTTTCAAAGAGCCTGAACATCCCGTGGGATGCGCGTCGTTCGTCAACGGGGGAGCTGAACAGTTGGGTAAAAATGGGTCCACCAACCGTGGCGAGGCAAAGTGCAGCAGGCGATGGAGTGCCTTCTGTCGCGCATCGCTCAGAGGAGACCTCTCCATCTTCTCAGCCATCCGTCGGTGGTGGGGATGCTCCCCAAGTGAAGGTAGAGGAGGGTCATGGGCCTCCTCAGTCTGCTCCGTCTGAGCAGGCGACGAGTGACGATTTTCATTTGATGTGGAGCGAGCTTGAAGCGTATTTGACGAAACGTTTTTCTGGGGGCCCGCAGAGTCTGGTGTCTTTGCGGCGTGTGCTGGACCATGTGAAGCGGCAAAGACTGAGGGTGGAGGAATTGGCTTTCCTCATAGGAAACTCCTTCCCCGACGCCCCCGACGTTTCGCTTTGCATGTCGCTGTTCCTCCCAGACAGAACTTTGATTCATGCGGGGAACCCAGCAGCTGCCATGTGCATCCTAATTCAGAACATGGCCCCTGACAAATATGCTATTTTCAATAGTATTCTGAAGAGTTGTATGGCGCAGAAGACGCAGCGCGGCAGTCGGGATATTTTGCTCCACCGCATGCAGCTTCTCTTCAGAGGCCATCCTCTGGTGATTCGTGCAATAAGAAAGCTTCTTGTACAGCAATTCTGCATCGAGAAGAATGGCGGCGTTATCCGTAAAAATCAGGCGCTAGAACTGGCCAAGCCATTTGACGATGAACCCGTTCAGGTGTGTTCTTGTTTATGAATCACTGCCACATGCTTTATTTTCGGTTTCTTGCATGTCGCAGAGAAGGTTTTTGAGTAGCTGAGTTATTTGTTGCTGCAATTTACCATCTTCAGGGGTTCTTTAGGATTTTTTGTTTAGAGTTTTGGCATCGTGTTCGAGATGTTTTTTATTTCTGTTGCAGGTTCACTCCGTATTTCGTCTAGCGTATCAAGTGGGGCTTTCTGGAGGCTGTGCAGAGCGGGCGAGGGTGTTGGCGTCGAATGTTTTGCATTTAGTTCGGATGTTCCTTTCGAAACGGTTGGCGTTTTCGTCTTTCAGCGACGAAATCGATCGGGTTTTCGCCTCATTTCCGTCTTGGTTTCATGTGGCTGGCGATATAAAGCAGCTCATCTTAACTGTCTGTAGCAGAGATATCCAACACGGCAAAGAAATCGAACGCGTCGTCAAACTTCTTGCAGCGAGGAACCGTAAACAAACACGCGCACAAATGCAAATAAACACACATGCATGCAAACATACATACATACATACATGCATACACATATAGCGATACACGCAAGTGATACACAACGTTAGTTGGCTGCTTTGTTGCTGAAACAAACAAGGAACAGGCATATTGCAGCAGATTGTCCTGAAAGAGTTCTTCCTTGCGTTCTTTCGTTTCCCCTTGCAAGAAGGGTCAGCAACCTTAAGCCATGGTTGTTTCTTGAGTTGTTGCATTGTTGTTGTCGCTTTGTGGCTGCGCTTTATGCTTTATACAAAACAATTTGCACATCTTTGAGGCAATTGCGGGGTGTTTTCTGTTCGTTTTCGTGTGTCTGATTTCAGCTGCAGCTTGCAGCGACCGTCGGGCTGGTTTGCTGCATTTGTGCGATTTGTTTTTACACGGGGTTGCGAGTCAATCTTTGTCCCTTCGCATTGAAATCGATCATATAATTTCTAGAACTGCGAACAAGGAGATTTCCGCTGCTCTTGCCCTGCAGCGCATAGCTGCCCTCCTCCTCCGCTTCCCCGATTGTTCTGAGAAACTGGGCGTTCTGATTCGTCTCTTTAAAGACATTCACATCAAAGATTTGACGCAAGCAAAACCAAAAACAGCAACAGCACCAGCAAGTACAGCGAACGCCACACACGTGAAAACAACAGCAGAGGCAACGCAGAGTATTGCTGCAACAGCAGCAGACGCAGCATCTATAACATCTACCGCAACAGTTGAAAAGACAGCAGATTCCAACACAACGGATGCCACGGGAACTGCACAAAGCGAAGCCAAAGCACCCTCTCAGGCAACTGGCGCGCTGTCGTGTACAGAGGCAGCAGATGGCTTCAAAGAGGACCAAATAACACTCCACCAGCAAACAGAAAGCACAAAGACAGAAAATGCAGAAGAGCCATCTCCAGCTGGTGTAAGTCATTCATCTCTTCCCTTCCGCTGCCCCCTCCCCTTTCCCAAGTAATGTGATAATCTGAGCCGGGTAGACTGTGCACAGCAGCCCAGTACACACAATTTAGTTTGAGCATTAGCTGTACGAACCGTAGGTTAGCAAAAGATGTTTTGGGTTGCGGTGTTTTAATCCAATATATGCGAACACAGTATGTGATACTGTATGAGTGTTCAATACAGGACACTGTAAGGCATAGCATTTTGCTTCGTGGAACTTCTGTTACGCGTGTTGCGTGTGCAGCTGCCGGCGAGCCCTTCTTGTCCCTCGGGCTCTCCCTCACCAGTCTGCGAGTCTGTCAGCAGCGAAAACGCCGCAACAGACCAGCAAAATAGAGTTCTTTCTCCTGCGGAGTTGCAGGTAGTTCGTGCTGCTGCCGATTTGTTGTGTAAATGCGTCGAACCATCAAGATATCGAAGCCAAGAGATTATGATTCAAATTCTCAGCTACACTGAGGTGCAACCAGTTTACCACGTCGTTGATGACTGGAACGCAGGGAGGCTTTCTCCTGAAGGAGTGGGTTTTCATTCATGTATTAAAACATCTCACATTTTACCAGTGTGTTAGCTGCAGTGTAAAGGCAAACGCGTACAACAGAGGAATTGTAGTTTGGGGTGAGGGGGAAGAGGCCGGTCTTCTGAACAACATGGCAGAAAATGCAGTGATGCACAAGATGGAGAGTTTTTCATTGAAAATGTTCAACTGCGGTTGCTGTTCTGCTTTGCTGGCTATTCAGGTGTATTCTGGTTTGTGCGCTGCTGCCGCTTCTTCTTCTTGGGGTTTAGGACCAGTTCATCGTTTAGCTTTCCTGCTTAAAAGTTTGAAGAAACCGCTGCGCAGCCGCCCGCTGCTGACGCGGCAGCAATCAGACAAACTGCCGAAGAACGGCTCTTACAGAAAACTCCCCGAGGAGTGCAGCACAGCTACCTGCAGTGGTAGGGATGCTCTTTCCTGGCAGGTTCTCAACGACAGGTACTGCAAAGTTGGGCTCAATAAGAGAAGTGATCGCAGTTAATTGCCTTTTATTTGGTTTAATGATTCAGTTTCCTTGACATAAACGCTGAAGGGGCCCCAGTGTGCAATGCGTGATTAGCACAGGTACTTGCAGTGCATTACTGGAATTGTTGAGCGATTTTGAAGTTAGTTTTTGTTGAAGTTTGTTCGTTTGTTGACAATTTTGGCTTATGAATTGTTTTTTATATGCAGGTTGTTTTGTTTTTTCTTCGATTTCTGCGCAGCTGGGGTCTTTTCCCCGACAGTTCTGAGAGCCAGGCGCGGCATATGAACAGGCACGAAGAAGCTCTTCTCTCTTTGGCTGATTCGCGTTACGAATGGGATATGCGTATCTGTTTGTTAGAGTCGTGTTTAAAACGACTTAAAGCAATTAAAGAAGCCATAGAGCAATACCCAGATGAAGAACGTCAAAATTGCACCGTTAGACCCTCCTTCTTCCAACAAACACACGTCAGCTGTCTCAGGCGCATCTTTGGCAGTAACACCGAACAAGTGAGACTTCCATTTCTATATTAAACGCCATTAATATATGCGCAAGAAACAGGTAAAGGTTTGGCAATCGACGTCGCTGTATCCAATGCATGCACAGGAGACAGATACATTATCTTTTGTCTAGATCTGCACGTATGTTAGGCTCCGTCGTCTTTAAGGAAGGCTCGTACATGCATTCGTTAACACTCTTATACTATACAATCCAGTGTGTGTAGGGCTTGATTCTGTACAATGCTGCATGATCTCGTGGTCGCCGATAGAGCGTTTTCTTTAGGCTGTTCTCTATACACCCAACTCACTAGTATAACAGTTTGCTCGTTGTGTGCCAGTAGCTGCATGTACGCAAGCAGCATGTGCATGCATATCTGTCAACTGTCCCGAATCTCCACTTTGCTTCTGTTTCATGTGCGGATGCATGTTGTGGGCGCTGCTTGTGGTGCTGTAGGTGTTGTCTAGTCTGTGTGCTTCTCCATTTGCTTCCCTGTCGATGGTTTTAAGCACTTTAGAAGCGAAGCTGCTGCAGTGGCGAGCCATGGCTGAAGTGCTGGCGGCCTATTGGACTTCTTTGGAGGCGCCGCACTATGCTGGGGCGGTAGATTTTAAAAAGCGATGTACAGACAATAAAAGAGGAGGCGGAGAAATAGAAGAAATGCGCAGCTCCGATGGCAGAAACAAATATGCGAGAACCAATAAAAATGATAACGCATAACATATATAGGTATATAGATCTATTAGTATATGTTTGTTTATTTATATACATATATATTGATGCATTCAAGCGTGTGCAAGCATACGTGTTTATTTATGTGTTAAACACATCGGTTATATATATATATT